GACCGAAGTGAGTCGAACATTCTGTATCTTTACCATTGGGTCATCAAGACTAGAAATATCTATTCGCGCCTCTCCTCCGAATATGTATAGCCTATAATGAAATATATAGAAACCCCGAATGTGTCAATAGCCTAGTTGTGCATCTGCACACACAATATTAGAGGGAAATATGTATTTCTTCAGAGAGGAGGTATGATACCTGGTGGCAGTGGAACGCTTACCAGGCGACTGGTCCGACTGTTGATCATTTTGACATCAGAGCCACAGGGTGGCGGCACACTCCATGTAGGCTGCTACTTAACATGTTAAACATGGAAGGCTACTACTTAACATGTTAAACATGGAAGGCTACTACTTAACATGTTAAACATGGAAGGCTACTACTTAACATGTTAAACATGGAAGGCTACTACTTAACATGTTAAACATGGAAGGCTACTACTTAACATGTTAAACATGGAAGGCTACTACTTAACATGTTAAACATGGAAGGCTGCTACTTAACATGTTAAACATGGAAGGCTACTACTTAACATGTTAAACATGGAAGGCTGCTACTTAACATGTTAAACATGGAAGGCTACTACTTAACATGTTAAACATGGAAGGCTACTACCTAACATGTTAAACATGGAAGGCTACTACTTAACATGTTAAACATGGAAGGCTACTACTTAACATGTTAAACATGGAAGGCTACTACTTAACATGTTAAACATGGAAGGCTACTACTTAACATGTTAAACATGGAAGGCTACTACTTAACATGTTAAACATGGAAGGCTACTACTTAACATGTTAAACATGGAAGGCTACTACTTAACATGTTAAACATGGAAGGCTACTACTTAACATGTTAAACATGGAAGGCTACTACTTAACATGTTAAACATGGAAGGCTACTACTTAACATGTTAAACATGGAAGCCTACTAGTTAACATGTCACACAAGGAAGGCTATTGGCATTATTTTACCCATTGGCTTTTGATTGTGATAATACCATTAGTTTGGTCTCGCTTTTAAACAGTCAATTGTCGACTTTATTATTGCCATTCGATTGTTCTAAAAACACCACTCCCATCCCGATGTCCACCGGTTCATGCCACAATGAAACACTAAAGGTGGCTGCAGAAAGACAACTATAAGAATATAAGTTTGACTTTGGTTTCTTTCCTCAGGGTGTTGTTGTTGCTGTTGCACATGTGACAAGGTCATTTAATCCAAATTTACAACACCTGGCAATACCTGATGTCAGTTGTGGGACAGGTAGGCCAACAGTAAATTCATGTATGTGACAAATGGTCAGGACTGGTGACAGACACCAATGGACATAGAGTTGTTTGGGATCAGGGATGGAACCCCAGATTCAGTTTAGCTACAGACTTGAAATAACATATAATAATAACATATAATAATAATAACATATAATAACATCATATAATAATAACATATAATAATAGCATATAATAATCGCATATCATAATAGTATATAATAATAACATATAATAATAACATATAATAAAAATATACAATAATAACATATAATAATAACATATAATAACATCATATAACAATAGCATATAATAATAGCATATCATAATAGTATATAATAATAACATATAATAATAGCATATAATATTAACATATAATAATAACATATAATAATAACATATAATAACATCATATAATAATAACATGTAATAATAATAGCATATAATAATAGCATATAATAATAACATATAACAATAACATGTAATAATAACATTTAATAACATCATATAATAATAACATATAATAATAACGTATAATAATAGCATATAATATTAACATATAATAATAACATATAATAATAATAACATATAATAACATCATATAATAATAACATATAATAACATCATATAATAATAAAATATCATAATATCATATAATAATAGCATATCATAATAGTATATAATAATAACATATAATAATAGCATATAATAATAACATATAGTAATAGCATATAATAATAACATATAATAATAGCATATAATAATAGCATATCATAATCGTATATAATAATAACATTTAATAATATCATATAATAATAATAATAATATATAATAACACCATATAATAATAACATATAATAATATCATATAATAATAACATATAATAATAACATATAATAATAGCATATAATAATAGCATATCATAATCGTATATAATAATAACATTTAATAATATCATATAATAATATATAATAACACCATATAATAATAACATATAATAATATCATATAATAATAACATATAATAATAACATATAATAATAGCATATAATAATAACATATAATAATAGCATATAATATTAGCATATCATAATAGTATATAATAATAACATATAATAATAACATATAATAATATCATATAATAATATATAATAATATCATATAATAATAACATATAATAATAACATATAATAATAGCATATAATAGCATATCATAATAGTATATTTACATCAATCAATCAATCAATTTTATTTTATATAGCCCTTCTTACATCAGCTAATATCTCGAAGTGCTGTACAGAAACCCAGCCTAAAACCCCAAACAGCTAGTAATGCAGGTGTAGAAGCACGGTGGCTAGGAAAAAACTCCCTAGAAAGGCAAAACCTAGGAAGAAACCTAGAGAGGAACCAGGCTATGAGGGGTGGCCAGTCCTCTTCTGGCTGTGCCGGGTGGAGATTATAACAGAACCATGCCAAGATGTTCAAAAATGTTCATAAGTGACAAGCATGGTCAAATAATAATCAGGAATAAATCTCAGTTGGCTTTTCATAGCCGATCATTAGAGTTTAAAACAGCAGGTCTGGGACAGGTAGGGGTTCCATAACCGCAGGCAGAACAGTTTAAACTGGAATAGCAGCAAGGCCAGGCGGACTGGGGATAGCAAGGAGTCACCACGGCCGGTAGTCCCGACGTATGGTCCTAGGGCTCAGGTCTCTCAGTTGGCTTTTCATAGCCGATCATTTAGAGTTGAAAACAGCAGGTCTGGGACAGGTAGGGGTTTCGTAGCCGCAGGCAGAACAGTTGAAACTGGAATAGCAGCAAGGCCAGGCGGACTGGGGGCAGCAGGGTGTCATCATGCCCGGTAGTCCTGACGTATGGTCCTAGGGCTCAGGTTCTCAGAGAGAAAGAGAGAACGAGAGAATTAGAGAGAGCATACTTAAATTCACACAGGACACTGGATAAGACAGGAGAAGTACTCCAGGTATAACCAACTAACCCCAGCCCCCCGACACATAAACTACTGCAGCATAAATACTGGAGGCTGAGACAGGAGCGGTCCGGAGACACTGTGGCCCCATCCGAAGAAACCCCCGGACAGGGCCAAACAGGAAGGATATAACCCCACCCACTCCGCCAAAGCACAGCCCCCGCACCACTAGAGGGATATCCCCAACCACCAACTTACAATCCTGAGACAAGGCCGAGTATAGCCCACAGAGGTCTCCACCACAGCACAAACCAAGGGGGGGGGGGGGCGCCAACCCAGACAGGAAGATCACGCCAGTAACTCAACCCACTCAAGTGACGCACCCCTCCCAGGGACGGCATGAAAGAGCACCAGCAGGCCAGTGACTCAGCCCCTGCAACAGGGTTAGAGGCAGAGAACCCCAGTGGAGAGGGGAACCGGCCTGGCAGAGACAGCAAGGGCTGTTCGTTGCTCCAGCCTTTCCGTTCACCTTCACACTCCTGGGCCAGACTACACTCAATCATATGACCTACTGAAGAGATAAGTCTTCAGTAAAGACTTAAAGGTTGAGACCGAGTCTGCGTCTCTCACATGGGTAGGCAGACTGTTCCATAAAAATGGAGATCTATAGGAGAAAGCCCTGCCTCCCGCTGTTTGCTTAGAAATTCTAGGGACAATTAGGAGGCCTGCGTCTTGTGACCGTAGCGTACGTATTGGTATGTACGGCAGGACCAACTCGGAAAGATAGGTAGGAGCAAGCCCATGTAACGCTTTATAGGTTAACAGTAAAACCTTGAAATCAGCCCTTGCCTTAACAGGAAGCCAGTGTAGGGAAGCTAGCACTGGAGTAATATGATCAAATTTCTTGGTTCTAGTCAGGATTCTAGCAGCCGTATTTAGCACTAACTGAAGTTTATTTAGTGCTTTATCCGGGTAGCCGGAAAATAGAGCATTGCAGTAGTCTAATCTAGAAGTAACAAATGCATGGATTAATTTTTCTGCATCATTTTTGGACAGAAAATTTCTGATTTTTGCAATGTTACGTAGATGGAAAAAAGCTGTCCTTGAAACAGTCTTGATATGTTCGTCAAAAGAGAGATCAGGGTCAAGAGTAACGCCTAGGTCCTTCACAGTTTTATTTGAGACGACTTTACAACCATCAAGATGAATTGTCAGATTTAACAGAAGATCTCTTTGTTTCTTGGGACCTAGAACAAGCATCTCTGTTTTGTCCGAGTTTAAAAGTAAAAAGTTTTCAGCCATCCACTTCCTTATGTCTGAAACACAGGCTTCTAGCGAGGGCAATTATTACATACATCACCATCACTTTTATATACACTACCAGTCAAAAGTTTGGACACACCTACTCATTCAAGGGTTTTTCTTTATTTTTAATTTTATTTTTACATTGTAGAATAATAGTGAAGACATCAAAACTATGAAATAACACATATGGAATCATGAAGTAACCAAAAAAGAGTTAAACAAATCAAAATATATTTTATATTTGAGATTCTTCAAATAGCCACCATTTGCCTTGATGACAGCTTTGCACACTCTCTCAACCAGCTTCACCTTTTCTAACATCTTCTGTGTATAAAGTGACGTGGGAGGGCAAAAAAGCATCTATTGACGCACTTAGCTGTTTTACGAGTGGTCTGAGGCAGGCAGGCTTTCGATTATGTGTTTTCAAGTGCAACGTTAATAACGGTTTTGGGAAACAGCTTGGAGATTTAATGATGATCCTACGAAGGTTCTAACGATGAACGTAAGCCTTAAGGTGGTTTTGGTAAACCGGGCCCAGGTCACACTGATGGGGGTGGGGTGTACGGCAGCTGGCCTAGACAGGTGTCTGAGCTCTGAGCAGGTACAGAACACGACAGGTGATAAGCAGGCAGGCAGACAGACTGGGGATGTTTGACGAGAGGGGGAACACTTAGGCTGTGTTTCAAATGGCACCCTGTTCTCTACATAGTGCACTACTTTTTGAACAAGGACCATAGGGTTCTTGTCAAATGTAGTGCCCTATATAGGGATGCAGAACTCCCATGTAACCTAAGAACAGGACGACTTCACGACGCCCTCTATCCTACGCCTCTCCATCTAAGACTCTCCACAGACTCCTCCATCTTCTCCATCTCTCTCATCTCTCTCCTCTCTCTCTCTACTCCTCTCTCTCTCTCTCTCTCTCTCTCTCTCTCTCTTCCTCTCCTCCTAACATCTCTCTACCTCTTTCGTTCACTCTCACTCTTATCTATCGCCTCCCTTGCTCCTCCTTCTCTAACTATACTGTCTTCTCCATATCCCTCAGATACTACGTCCTGAGTGGCATGAGTCTCTCTCCTTACCAAAGCTTCTCAACCCCAGCTGGTAAGACATCGTCCAAGATCTAAAGAAGGCCTTCGCCCTCATTACCTCTACCGAGCCCGCGTCTAAGTCTAGGAACTCGGTAAGGACTTCTCCCATGATCCCTCATGATACCTCTGACGTCCCCGTAGTGTGCATGTCCCCCGTGGTCGCCGCAGTTACACGCTCTCTCATCCCCCCTGGCTGTGTTGGTAAGACAGTGGGGGACGTCTTCAAAGAAACGTTCGCTAACATTACCGTCTGTACCCTGAGGCCCAGCCTCTGTCTGTGGGCTGGTCATAGGATGGGCACATAGTGACACTCAGAAGTAGGGTATGGTCACTAGCAGGAAGTGATATCTGTGCCTCAGGCCGGGCCCCTCTCTTAGCTGGTCACATAGTGACCCGGAACTCAGCAAGGATTGAGAGACACACAGAGGGGATGGCTCTAATCATTAAAACAGAGGGGATGGCTCTAATCATTATCATACAGAGGTGATGGCTCTAATCACGATCATACATAGGAGATGGCTCTAATCATTATCATACATAGGAGATGGCTCTAATCACTATCATACAGAGGTGATGGCTGTAATCATTATCATACAGAGGTGATGGCTCTAATCATTATCATACAGAGGTGATGGCTCTAATCATTATCATACAGAGGTGATGGCTGTAATCATTATCATACAGAGGAGATGGCTCTAATCACTATCACACAGAGGTGATGGCTCTAATCATTAAAACAGAGGGGATGGCTCTAATCATTATCATACAGAGGTGATGGCTCTAATCATTATCACACAGAGGTGATGGCTCTAATCATTACCTCTGTAGCTCAATTGGTAGAGCATGGCGCTTGTAACGGCAGGGTAGTGGGTTTGATCCCCGGGACCACCCATACTTAAAAATGTATGCACACATGACTCTATGTCGCTTTGGATAAAAGCGTCTGCTAAGTGGCATATTATATTATTATTATTATACAGAGGAGATGGCTCTAATCATTATCACACAGAGGAGATGGCTGTAAATACTATCACACAGAGGTGATGGCTCTAATCACTATCATACAGAGGAAATGGTTCTAATCATTATCACACAGAGGAGATGGCTCTAATCATGATCACACAGAGGAGATGGCTGTAAATACTATCACACAGAGTATGTTAGAGTCTATTAGAGAGTGACTTGTCAAAGGATGGGGATGATATGGTGGCACATAGAGACATGAAACAGAACAACATAATTTATATGCTTCTCCTATGTAGGCATTGAACCATAAACTGTACGTATCAAACAACTACATTCACGTTAGTTGACTGAATTGCTTAACCCTATAGTACCATATCAAACATGTACTGTACATTCACATTAGCTGACTGTCATGCACAAAGGAAGCTTACAGAGAACGGAATTTGGTTGGTTGGTCTTGTGCTCATGTATGATACTGTAGATATTACACTTTGAGTATAGTAAATCGAACACAATAGTATGTTGATTACTCATCCAACTGGTCATATACACACATTAGTTATTTACAAACACGAATCAGCTAGAAATGATCCAGTTACAGAGTGAAGGATTAGTATTTGAAAGGTTAAAACGATCATCATGACAGGTAGTCATTTTAGCGTGCATGTACATGATTTAAAATGCGAGATTACGTGCAGCTAATGTATTTTTTTAATAGTAGGCCTATTATAGTAAGTATTTTATAGTAAGTATTTTATAGTAATTATTTTATAGTAAGTATTTTATAGTAAGTATTTCATAGTAGTCTTTTATAGTAAGTATTCTATAGTAATTATTTTATGGTAGTCTTTTATAGTGAGTATTTTATAGTAAGTATTTTATAGTGAGTATTTTATAGTAAGTATTTTATAGTAGTCTTTTATAATAAGTATTTTATGGTATGTATTTTATAGTAGTCTTTTATAGTAGTCTTTTATAGTAAGTCTTTATAGTAGTCATTTATAAGTCTCTTATGGTACATATTTTATGGTACGTATTTTATAGTAGTATTTTATAGTAGTCTTTTATAATAAGTATCTTATGGTACGTATTTTATGGTATGTATTTTATAGTAGTATTTTATGGTACGTATTTTATAGTAGTATTTTATAATAAGTATTTTATGGGACGTATTTTATGTTATGTATTTTATAGTAGGATTTTATAGTTGGATTTTATGTCTTCTTTATAGTAGGATTTTATGTCTTCTTCTATAGACTATGCAATGGCTATGAGGACAAAAAGTACATCCTTATTTAAAAGCGTTTCACTGAGGAATTATTGATGAGCCAGAGCTGCATGATCAATCGATTAATTCCAGATAAAAGTCTAAACATGGTTCATCAACCCTTGGGGCTTATTGAATTCATTGCATTAAAAAGCAATACACCAACAGATTGCACTTGCCAAGTGTTGATTAACATATGAAATCATTAGTTAGAAGCAGCAATATTTCTAGAGAAGAGATATGGAGCTGGGTAGAACGCTCAGCTCCAAATAAATACTGAGGTCACAAAGTGCTTGTTTGTCTCATATTTAAAAACGGTAAGTATGGATGGTAAGTATGGATGTTTCTAGAGGACTGTTTCACCCCTTAGCCGTGTGTTAATCACAGTAAACCCCAGGTTCTCATGCCCTATTGCTGTAATAGCTCGTATTTTAAAAAACATTAACAGATGTTCATTTGAATTTGTCCGTATCATCTTATTGATGTTTCTAGGGTCTTGTACTGGAGCAGAGGGGGATGTACTGACTGGATGGATCCACGTCTGTCTGTCTGTCTGTCTGTCTGTGTGGGTGTGTGCCGACAGTCAGTCTGATGTTAGGTTTGTTTAGCTAGCTGAGCTGAAGCCCACAGGGGGGGGAGTGTGTTTGTAGAACAGGGTTTTCGCTCCTGTGGCTGTTAGACAGTCACTCACAGCCAGCATTTATGTAAACCTCCATCCAGTTGCCTTTTCATGAAAAATAAACACCAGAGCTAACAGCTGTTGTTTGACCTCACTCTCACTGCTGAAATTAAGTGCTTAGTGCCATTTCTTTGCTTGATTGGTTCGGGTGTGCTGCTCAGCAAGCCGGATGTTCTGTCACTTGGGCAAATAGGCATGCAGAGTGTCCTCTCCATAGTAAAGCATAATACACCGTATGAAAATAATGTCTTACTATTATTTAGCTTATGTTCTGTCCCTGTGCCTTGCATGTTCAACATCAAGAAAAGAAAGGAAGACATTTTGAATGACCTTCTATTGTAAGTCATTTCCATCAAACCAAGCTGTGTCCCTGTAGAGAACGGGGAGAAAATGATGAGGCTATGATCAATGTGTAAATAGATGAAGGATTCATTTGAAGTAGCATGCACATTAAAGCATCATCTCTTTTCAGTGTCTCTTCTCTCTGTTTTCTAACCAAAGCACTATGCGCAAGCACCTGCTGCAAAACAGACCGGAAAACAACAAAACAAACAAACAAACAAACAAAACAAATAAACAATGTCCATATGTCATTCTTTCTTTTTAAACAATAAAAACAATATCATGTTGCATAATAATGACTAGCTACCGTAAAATAAAAAATTGCTAAATGTCAGGCCAAGTGCTCATTATGTCACAAGCCTAATGTTCCCCTAAGGAAAAATAAATAGTTTGTGTGCCATTTTAATCTGATTCCCGCCGGGACATTATAAAATAATAAATAACATGTTAATCAGTACAAAAAACATGCTGCTTAGTTTTCAGTCCAACAACGGTTCAGTTAAAGGCCCTTTGAGACTGTTCAGCTCAGAGGGAGATTGACAGCTGTCCACAAAACATGGTTGGAATACACTCTGTGGTTCAGAGGTCATAAGTGCTTAGGGGGACCGTGGGAAGGAGGGATGGGGTTGGTCTCAATTAGGGCTGGTCTAAAGGGTCAAGGTCACATGGTCCGAGGGATGGGGTGATGGAGGGATAGAGGGATGGAGGCGTGTGGTGAGGGGAGGGTTGGTTCTCAATTAGGGATGGGGGGGTCTCACGGTCAAAGTCACATGGTCCGTGGGACGGGGTGTTGGGGGGGACCGTGAAGAGGGGTGTTTGGGGGGGGGGGGGCAGTGGATGGATGGATGGAAGAGATGACGGACGGAAGAGTGTACTGGGTTGGTCTCAATTAGGAGGGACCCAGGGTTAAGGTCAAGGTTACATTGTCCGTGGGGTGGAGGGATGGAGGGGATGAGGGAATGGAGGGATGGGGGGTAGAGGGAATGGAGGGATGGGGGGGGGTAGAGGGATGGGGGGTAGAGGGATGGGGTGGACGAGGGAATGGAGGGATGGGGGGTAGAGGGATGGGGTGGACGAGGGAATGGAGGGATGGGGGGGTAGAGGGATGGGGTGGACGAGGGAATGGAGGGATGGGGGGGGTAGAGGGATGGAGGGATGGGGGGTAGAGGGATGGAGGGATGGGGGGGTAGAGGGATGGGGGGGTAGGGGGTCTCTCTCATCCCATAGTCAAGGGCCAAGGTCAGGGTCACACCCTGCGGAGTGGTAGGGGGCCAAGGTCAGGGTCACACCCTGCGGAGTGGTAGGGGGCCCAGGTCAGGGTCACACCCTGCGGAGTGGTAGGGGGCCAAGGTCAGGGTCAGAACCCCCCCCCCCCCCCCCCCCGAGCAACAGAACATCCCTTACGGCCACTCTGAATGGCTTACTGACGAAACTGTAGAGAAAGAAGTTGACCACAGTGTTGAGCATGGCCAGCATGTTAGACAGGTCGTAGGCCAGGTGGACTTGCCTGTCCTTGTGGACCGAGGACCCGTACAGTATAGATGATAGATGACCACTAGAGTCCCGGGCTCCCAGTGTCAGGTATGCTGATGTGGATGCGGTGGTGAAGTCAAGCGCAGGACACAGAGGATAAGTCAAGACGACTTTACTGAGGAACTCTATAATTACACAAAAATAAACGGCCTCGAAACACTAGAGGCGAACAAAATACGCGGGGTGCGTAAAACCAACAATAGATGCCAAGGTTCCGAACCAGTACGCATACGACAAGCGGACAATAACACACAAAATGCAAACATAACACAGGGGAACTTATAGGTGACATTATCAATACAGAATACGAAACAGGTGCACCAACTAGTAGCTAGTACTCCGGGGACGACGAACGCCGAAGCCTGCCCGAGCAAGGAGGAGGAGCAGCCTCGGCGGCATCCGTGACACCCAGAGTAGGACGAACGAGGAGGGGATGGCGAGCAGCATGGCGGTGCTCTTACCCGGGCACCGCAGCCGTACCAACTGGGGCCCACCGCCACCACACTCCTCCTGGCACGGTGCCTGTCTCTGCCGCACTCGCAGCCGGCGGAAGATCAGCATGTTCAGAACCAGGAAGATGCTACACGGCAGGAGGAATATTATCGTCATGTGCGTCCATATGAGGGCGGAGTCAAGGGTGGTCACATGTCAGACAACCAGAAGAACGGCACGCCCCCTACAACACCGCCAGGTATAAGACGATGGCGATGATCCACCGCACCCCAGCACCGGGTAGCCAATCTGGCGGAGGATGAGGGGGTGGCACAGTGCCACGCAGCAGTCCATGGTAAGGGGTACGGTGGACCAGATGGAGGCATGGTTGGCAGCAAACTCCGCCACGCTGACTGAGTGCAGCAGGAGGGTGGGGACCTAGAAAATCAGTACAATACAACTTTATTGTCCATTCCGTAACCACTGGGATACCTACCTCCCGGTGGAACAAGGCTGTTTCCAGCAGGAAGCCCACGAAGATGGTGAAGCGCTGGGACAGGATGTCAGAGCTGGTTAGAGCCAGCAGGTACATGGACAGAGCTTTCTTAGTACCGTCTGCCAGCTGGGATAGAGCCACCGCAGTCAGGATGTTTACTGACAGATGGAGGGGGAGAGAGAGGGGGAGGGAGGGAGGGGGAAGAGAGAGGGGGAGGGTGGAGAAGAGGAGTGGGAAGCGGGAGAGAACATCTACTCAAACACCTTTTAGAGTCCATTAAACTTGGCTTGTGGCTGTATTGCGGTGGATATTCTGTGGAGGAGGAGGGAGATATTTGTTCTCAGCAAGCAGATAGTCCTTCTAAGAGACCCTGGCTGTAACAGTGTGTGTGTGTGTTCAGTGTGAAATACAGCAGCTACATTGTCACGCCCTGGCTCTGGGGACTCTAATATGTTGAGCCAGGGTGTGTAAAGTCTATGTGTTTTGTTCTAGGTTTCATTCTAGTATTGTTGTTCTATGTTGGCCAGTGTGGTTCTCAATCAGAGGCAACGTGATTCAGCTGTTGCTTGTTGTCTCTGATTGAGAACCATACTTTAGCAGCCTGTTTCCCCACAGAGTTTGTGGGATCTTGTTTCTAGTCTGTAGTGTTAGACCGTGAACTGTCACGTTTTCGTTTTGTCGTTTTTGATCGTGTCTCTAATAAAGAGTATGTTTGCCTGCAACGCTGCGCCTTGGTCCTCATCTCTGTTCGACGAGCGTGACAGAAGATCCCACCAAGACTGGACCAAGCAGCAAGTCCAGGAGCCAGCGCCTGAGAGATCTCTAGCGGATCTCCTTCGCCTCCTCGACTGGGTCAAGCCATGTGAGGAAGAGAGGGGCTTGACGTGGAGGCAGAAGGGCGAAAGGCTGGCGAGAAGCATGGAGACCTGGTCCACGGGTAGGAGTGAAGCCCATAACATTTTTAGGGGGGGGCTAACGCCGTGGACGACGGGGCAGCAGGAGGCCGCCAGGTTACGGGAGTCACTGGTCACCAGGGGGAAGGAGGATGTAGAGGCACGGCGAGAGGTACTGGCGTGTGTTGCCAGTCCGGTCCGGCCTGTTCCTGATCCCCACGTAGGGCCAGTGGTGTGTGTTCCCAGTACGGTCCGGCCTGTTCCTGCCACTCGCACCAAGTCTACGGTGCGCGTCGCCAGCTCGGACCGGCCTGTTCCTGCTCCCCGCACCAAGTCTGTGGTGCGCGTCGCCAGCCCAGTCCGGCCCATTCCTGCTCCCCGCACCAAGTCAGTGGTGCGTTTCGTCAGCCCTGTCCGGCCCATTCCTGCTCCCCGCACCAAGTCAGTGGTGCGTTTCGTCAGCCCAGCTCGGCCCGTTCCTGCTCCCCGCACCAAGTCAGTGGTGCGCTTCGTCAGCCCGGCACGGCCCGTTCCTGCTCCCCGCACCAAGTCAGTGGTGCGCTTCGTCAGCCCGGTCCGGCCCGCTCCTGCTCCCCGCACCAAGTCAGTGGTGCGTTTCGTCAGCCCGGCTCGGCCCGCTCCTGCTCCCCACACCAAGCCAGTGGTGTGCGTCGTCAGTCCGGCACGGCCTGTGCCTGTTCCACCGGTGGCTGGTCCGGCACCGGTCAGATGCTTCACGCCGGAGCTGGAGCAATCCGCTCCACCAGTGTGCAGTCCAGCTCCGGCCAGCGGGGCCAGACCGGACCAGGGGTACTTTGGGGGGTTGGAGAGGGAGCGGGGATCAGGCCCGGAGCCGGATCCGCCGCCTAAGCGGAGTGCCCACCCGGTCCCTCCCCTGTGGTATTTGGTGGGCACGGTCGGAGTCTGCGCATTTAGGGGGGGGGTACTGTCACGCCCTGGCTCTGGGGACTCTAATATGTTGAGCCAGGGTGTGTAAAGTCTATGTGTTTTGTTCTAGGTTTCATTCTAGTATTGTTGTTCTACAGTGGGGAAAAAAAGTATTTAGTCAGCCACCAATTGTGCAAGTTCTCCCACTTAAAAAGATGAGAGAGGCCTGTAATTTTCATCATAGGTACACGTCAACTATGACAGACAAATTGAGAATTATTTTCTCCAGAAAATCACATTGTAGGATTTTTTATGAATTTATTTGCAAATTATGGTGGAAAATAAGTATTTGGTCACCTACAAACAAGCAAGATTTCTGGCTCTCAGAGACCTGTAACTTCTTCTTTAAGAGGCTCCTCTGTCCTCCACTCGTTACCTGTATTAATGGCACCTGTTTGAACTTGTTATCAGTATAAAAGACACCTGTCCACAACCTCAAACAGTCACACTCCAAACTCCACTATGGCCAAGACCAAAGAGCTGTCAAAGGACACCAGAAACAAAATTGTAGACCTGCACCAGGCTGGGAAGACTGAATCTGCAATAGGTAAGCAGCTTGGTTTGAAGAAATCAACTGTGGGAGCAATTATTAGGAAATGGAAGACATACAAGACCACTGATAATCTCCCTCGATCTGGGGCTCCACGCAAGATCTCACCCCGTGGGGTCAAAATGATCACAAGAATGGTGAGCAACAATCCCAGAACCACACGGGGGGACCTAGTGAATGACCTGCAGAGAGCTGGGACCAAAGTAACAAAGCCTACCATCAGTAACACACTACGCCGCCAGGGACTCAAATCCTGCAGTGCCAGACGTGTCCCCCTGCTTAAGCCAGTACTTGTCCAGGCCCGTCTGAAGTTTGCTAGAGTGCATTTGGATGATCCAGAAGAGGATTGGGAGAATGTCATATGGTCAGATGAAACGAAAATAGATCTTTTTGGTAAAAACTCAACTCGTCGTGTTTGGAGGACAAAGAATGCTGAGTTGCATCCAAAGAACACCATACCTACTGTGAAGCATGGGGGTGGAAACATCATGCTTTGGGGCTGTTTTTCTGCAAAGGGACCAGGACGACTGATCCGTGTAAAGGAAAGAATGAATGGGGCCATGTATCGTGAGATTTTGAGTGAAAACCTCCTTCCATCAGCAAGGGCATTGAAGATGAAACGTGGCTGGGTCTTTCAGCATGACAATGATCCCAAACACACCGCCCGCGCAACGAAGGAGTGGCTTCGTAAGAAGCATTTCAAGGTCCTGGAGTGGCCTAGCTAGTCTCCAGATCTCAACCCCATAGAAAATCTTTGGAGGGAGTTGAAAGTCTGTGTTGCCCAGTGACAGCCCCAAAACATCACTGCTCTAGAGGAGATCTGCATGGAGGAATGGGCCAAAATACCAGCAACAGTGTGTGAAAACCTTGTGAAGACTTACAGAAAACATTTGACCTGTGTCATTGCCAACAAAGGGTATATAACAAAGTATTGAGAAACTTTTGTTATTGACCAAATACTTATTTTCCACCATAATTTGCAAATTAATTCATTAAAAATCCTACAATGTGATTTTCTGAATATTTTTTTCTCATTTTGTCTGTCATAGTTGACGTGTACCTATGATGAAAATTACAGGCCTCTCTCATCTTTTTAAGTGGGAGAACTTGCACAATTGGTGGCTGACTAAATACTTTTTTCCCCCACTGTATGTTGGCCAGTGTGGTTCTCAATCAGAGGCAACGTGATTCAGCTGTTGCTTGTTGTCTCTGATTGAGAACCATACTTTAGCAGCCTGTTTCCCCACAGAGTTTGTGGGATCTTGTTTCTAGTCTGTAGTGTTAGACCGTGAACTGTCACGTTTTCGTTTTGTCGTTTTTGATCGTGTCTCTAATAAAGAGTATGTTTGCCTGCAACGCTGCGCCTTGGTCCTCATCTCTGTTCGACGAGCGTGACATACATTGATGTATATTTCCTTCAGTATAAAGATCTCATCTATCCTCCAATGGACAATATCACCATCATAGCCTTGTCAACATCAGGATATTCCCACTAAAGCCAATTGGAGCACATTGTGAGCACAGTCAGTCTCAGACCTTAGACCTCAACACAGACCTCTCAAGGCCCACTGGGGGCAATTAGTACGCTGTGCCCTTTTTTTTTGGGGGGGGGGGGGGGTCTTGGTGTGTGTTTGTGTATGTCCTTGGTTAATTCCAAAAGGTCATCTAAAGGATTGAGAGTGAGCAACGCAGGCGGCTGACCTCAGATGACCCCCTCTCTCCCCCTCCCCTAATCCTGCCGGATCAATAGTGCATCCATGACAACACAGTTGAAAACAATGACAACACAGCTTACTGCCCTGAACACCATTCATGTGATATATTCTTTTTTTGTCCTCATCTCAGGATCTCTGGGGGGTTTCATATTGGTGGACTGGTCAGAATACTGCAAAGATATTTTCACCTTCAATTTCATATATCTGATCACTAGTTTTATCAGTTAGTCAATGAACTGCATAGTAAGGAGAGACTGTTCTTCCTTTGTATAGTTTCTTAATTTAAAGGCATCACCTCTACTGTAGTTTGAGAACAAATCCATTTTTTATTCTTTCACTTACAATTTTAAAGAAGATAGAATGATCAAACTATTTAAATAAAGTGTAAATTAAACTGTATGCTAGGAACTTGCGACTGTCAAACTGCTATTATGGAATGAAAGTCCTCCTTCAGTACTACTCCACATTGAACCACAGCCAGAGGATGGCTACATTACTACTCCACATTGAACCACAGCCAGAGGATGGCTAAATTACTACTCCACATTGAACCACAGCCAGAGGATGGCTACATTACTACTCCACATTGAACCACAGCCAGAGGATGGCTACATTACTACTCCACATTGAACCACAGCCAGAGGATGGCTACATTACTACTCCACATTGAACCACAGCCAGGGTATGGCTACATTACTACTCCACATTGAACCACAGCCAGAGGATGGCTACATTACTACTCCACATTGAACCACAGCCAGAGGATGGCTACATTACTACTCCACATTGAACCACAGCCAGGGTATGGCTACATTGCTACTCCACATTGAACCACAGCCAGATGATGGCTACATTACTACTCCACATTGAACCACAGCCAGAGGATGGCTACATTACTACTCCACATTGAACCACCGCCAGAGGATGGCTACATTACTACTCCACATTGAACCACAGCCAGAGGATGGCTACATTACTACTCCACATTGAACCACAGCCAGGGTATGGCTACATTACTACTCCACATTGAACCACAGCCAGAGGATGGCTACATTACTACTCTACATTGAACCACAGCCAGAGGATGGCTACATTACTACTCCACATTGAACCACAGCCAGAGGATGGCTACATTACTACTCTACATTGAACCACAGCCAGAGGATGGCTACATTACTACACATTGAACCACAGCCAGAGGATGGCTACATTACTACTCCACATTGAACCACAGCCAGGGTATGGCTACATTACTACTCCACATTGAACCACAGCTAGAGGACTGGTACATTACTACTCCACATTGAACCACAGCTAGAGGATGGCTACATTACTACTCCACATTGAACCACAGCCAGAGGATTGCTACATTACTACTCCACATTGAACCACCGCCAGAGGATGGCTCCATGTCTGGCTTCATCCTTGATGACCTCATTGTGTTTCACTGGGGGAAGTTTAGTTATCCATAAAAAGTGCTCTTACTCCTGTCTGGCCACACATTCATTTGAGTATTAATAAAGCATGATTCATAGGTCATGCTCATGATGTAGGCTACATTAGCCATAATTGGTCATGCGTTGGTGGGGGTGAGTGATGGTGATGACCAGGTAAAAGGCTCAGTGAAGAGTGATTAAGGATGTTTTCCAGATGGAAGCTGTGCTAATGATGGTGAGTGAGGTCATACTGAGGCCATGGAGCCCCTCCCCCCCATCTCTATCGCTCTCTTTCTGGAGTACCTCACTTTCCTTCCATCTCTCTCTCTCTCTGGAGTAGCTCGCTTTCCTTCCATCTCTCTCTCTCTCTGGAGTAGCTCGCTTTCCTTCCATCTCTCTCTCTTTCTGGAGTACCTCACTTTCCTTCCAATCTCTCTCTCTCTCTCTGGAGTACCTCTCTCTTTCCTTGCTTCCTTCTCTCTCTCTCTCTGGAGTAGTTGCTCTCTCTCTCTCTGGAGTACCTCGCTTTCCTTCCATCGCTCTTTCTCTCTCTGGAGTACCTCTCTCTTTCCTTCCTTCCTTCCTTCCTTCTCTCTCTGGAGTATCTCTCTGTCTCATCAATTTCTTGTCTTTACCCTCTGCTCTGGGCTATATGGTATAGGAGTTATACACTTATACAGTTTATTAGGTACACCCATCTAATACTGGGTGGGACCCCCCTGTAGCCAAGAAGGGTTGCACCTGGTCAGCAACTATGCTCAGATACGCTGTGGCGTTCAAACGTTGCTCAATTGGAATCAAGGGACCTAACATGTGCCAGGAAAACATTTCCCACACCATTACTCCACCGCCACCAGCCTGTACCGTTGACACCAGGCAGGATGGGGCAATGGACTCATGCTGCTTATGCCAAATCCTAACTCTGCAATCAGCATGACACAACAGGAACCGGGATTTGTCGGACCAGCCGATGTTTTTCAACTCCTCAGTTGTCCAGTGTTGGTGATCGCGTGCCCACTGGAGCCGCTTCTTCTTGTTTTTAGCTGATAGGAGTGGAACCCATTGTGGTCGTCTGCTGCAATAGCCTGACGAGGACTGACGAGTTGTGCATTCCGAGATGCCGTTCTGCACACCACTGTTGTACTGCGCCGTTATTTGCCCATTTTTGGCCTGGCTGTTAGCTTGCACAATCTAGCCCTTCTCCTTTGACCTCTCTCATAAACGAGCTGTTATCGCCCACAGGACTGCCACTGACTGGTTGTTTTATGTTCGTTGCACCATTCTTAGTAAACCCTGGACACCTGTCGTGCGTAAAAAGCCCAGGAGGTCGGCCGTTTCTGAGATACTGGAATGATCATACCACGCTCAAAGTCGCTTAGGTCACTCGTTTTGCCCATTCTAACGTTCAATCGAACAGTAACTGAATGCCTCGATGTAAATGCTTCACAGAGTTCAAGTCACAGACAAATCTCAACATCAACTGTTCAGAGGGGACTGTGTGAATCAGGCCTTCATGGTAGAATTGCTGCAAAGAAACCACTAGTAAAGGACACCAATAAGAAGAAGAGACCAGCTTGGGCCAAGAAACACAAGCAATGGACATTAGACTGGTGGAAATATGTCCAAATTGGAGATTTTTGGTTCCAACCGCCGTTTCTTTGTGAGACGCTGTGTTGGTGAACGGATGATCTCCACATGTATATTTCCCACCGTAAAGCATGGAGGAGGAGGTGTTATGGTGTGGGGGTGCTTTGCTGGTGACACTGATTTATTTAGAATTCAAGGCACACTTAACCAGCATGGCTACCACAGCATTCTGCAGCGATACGCCATCTCATCTGGTTTGGGCTTAGTGGGACTATAATTTGTTTTTCAACAGGACAATGACCCAACACACCTCCAGGCTGTGTAAGTGCTATTTTACCAAGAAGGAGAATGATGGAGTGCTGCATCAGATGACTTGGCCTCCACAATCCCCCGACCTTAACCCAACTGAGATGGTTTGGGCTGAGTCAGACAGCTGAATTTACATTTACATAATTTAGCAGACGCTCTTATCCATTTACATTTTACATTTTACATTTACATTTTAGTCATTTAGCAGACGCTCTTATCCAGAGCGACTTACAGTTAGTGAATACATATTTTTTTTATACTGGTCCCCAGTATAAAAAAGCAACTTACAAATTGGAAGGAAAAGTGCTAAGCATATGTGGGAACTCCTTCAAGACTGTTGGAAAAGCATTCCAGGTGAAGCTGGTTGAGAGAATGCGAAGAGAATGCCAAGAGTGTGCAAAGCTGTCATCAAGGCAAAGGGTGGCTATTTGAAGAATCTTAAATATAAAATATAATTTGATTTGTTTAACACCTTTTTGGTAACTACATGATTCCATATGTGTTAATTCATAGTTTTGATGTCTTCACTATTATTCTACAATGTAAAAAAATTTAAAATAAAGAAAAACCCTTGAATGAGTAGGTGTCCAAACTTTTGACTGGTATTGTATATATATATATACATATATATATATATATATATATATATATATATATATATATATATATACATGTGTGTGATGGGATGCATAGACATTATTGACAGTATATTAATACAATATTTAGTATATCTGTAGAATATGTGGATAGAATAGTATATGTACAGCAATAGTTAGATAGGATAGGCCTTGACTAGAATACAGTATATACATATGAAATGAGTAAAACAGTACGTAAACATTATTAATGTGACCGGTGTTCAATGACTATGTACATAAGGCAGCAACCTCTAAGGTGCAGGGTTGAGTAACAGGGTGGTGGCTGGCTAGTGACAGTGACTAAGGTTCAGGGCAGGGTAAAGTGCGGAGGCCGGCTAGAGTTGACTATTTAACACTCTGATGGCCTGGAGATAGAAGCAAATTTTCAGTCTCTCGGTTTCAGCTTTGATGCACCTGTACTGACCTCGGCTTCTGGATGGTAGCGGGGTGAACAGGCCGTGGCTCGGGTGGCTAAGGTCCTTGATGATCTTCTTGGCCTCTTCTGTGACACCAGGTGCTGTAGATGTCCTGGAGGGCAGGCAGTGTGCCCCCCAGTGATGCGTTGGGCTGACCCCACCACCCTCTGGAGAGAGCTGCGGTCATCATTTCGTTGTCTCCAATAATGTTGATGTAGTCATTGTGTCTTACACCAAAAATCAATTTGACTTCATTCAATCATGTCAGGCTGCCTGTAACCCACTTGATAGAAATCCTTACATTTTTACCATTTATTATGTGCTTTACAGACAGGTATAATTGTACTCATCTTTGGCACTACTATATTACATTACATTACATTAAGCGCAAAAAAAACCATACAGGTCATCATTCCTGTAAGCCTGACGGTACCGTATTTGGAACAAATCTTTCTGTTTTAACAGTTATTCCTCTTCGTATTTAGTCTCCAGCCCTTATAATCTACCAGTGATATATGCTGTAATGAGTCATAATCTACTAGTGATATATGCTGTAATGAGTCATAATCTACCAGTGATATATGATGTAATGAGTCATCATCTACTAGTGATATATGCTGTAATGAGTCATAATCTACTAGTGATATATGCTGTAATGAGTCATAATCTACTAGTGATATATGCTGTAATGAGTCATCATCTACTAGTGATAT